CTACCTGGGCCAGGCCCTGGAGGGACTGGAATACCTCCACTCACGAAGGATTCTGCATGGGGACGTCAAAGGTAAGGCTCAGGCCCCGCAGCCCTGCTCCCTGGCAGGCTCTTCCCTCATACCATCCTGCCTGATCTCCTCCCAGTTCTGGGCTGGCCTGGTCAACTCCAGTGGCGGGCCTGAGTCAGGCTGACAGGGCTGTTCCTGTAGGAAGGGGAATGATGCTCTCCAAGCCCGTAACCTAGCACTGGAGTTTCTGGAAATGGTGGTCACAGAGAACCTAAGGTCAAGCTCCCACCCACTGGTGACCCCTGGCATGGGGTTGGGGCAGGCAAGCAGAGTGGCAGCATTCCCCAGAGTAAACCCTGCTCCTGTCCCCTCTCCCTCAGAGATCCCGCCTGCCTCTAGCCTGAATTGACGCCCTCCTCCCTTCCTCCACGACTAATGAAACTAAGTCAGAAGCAGCAGCTGCCACGTGGGGTCAGCCAGAAAATTGTCACTGGAGGGCAGGCCAAACCAAGCCTGGGTGGGCTGGGACCCGGCATGACTCACCTGTTCCTCTTCCTCCCTGGGGCGGCCTGGCAGCTGACAACGTGCTCCTGTCCAGTGATGGGAGCCATGCAGCCCTCTGTGACTTTGGCCATGCTGTGCGTCTTCAACCTGATGGCCTGGGGAAGTCCTTGCTCACAGGTAAGGCCCCCCCACCAACTGCCCTGCCCCCCAGTGCATTCATTCCCCAAATACCTTCCATGCTTTCCACAATGGGAATTGAGATGTGAACACTTAGGTCCACCTGTGTGTTTCAGCCCCACAAACGGCCTGGGTGATTATCGGGTTTTCTTGTTAAGAGTAAATTCGGTAATGAATGTCAGGTGCTCATTGCTGATGCTCCTGTACATAGGGAAGGGAAGGGAAAGGCTGGGTGACTCTCCCTAGATCCCAGGCCTCTGCCTTGGAGCCCCTGTGGCTTCGCACCTCTTTTTAGGGGAGTCTGGCCTTTTCAGGGGAGTACCCTGCCAGCCAGTGACCTCAGCTCTCCTGCACCTCTGAGCACAGTTGGCTGGAAGTACAGTGGGCAGGCTAACCAAGGGGCCTTACCTGTGAGCAAGGACTTACCCAAGCTAACCGCTGGGCTCTGAAGCCAGTGAAATCTCTCTTTAACTTCTCTGATTATTAAAATAATCCATGCCCACTGTATAGTACAGGGTTAAGCATACAAAAGAGACAGGCCAGGCACAGTGGCTCACGGCTGTAATCCCAGCACTTTGGGAGGCCAAGGCGGGCAGATCATGAAGTCAAGAGATGGAGACCAGACTGACCAACATAGTGAAACCCTGTCTCTACTAAAATATGAAAATTAGCTGGGCGTGGTGGCATGCGCCTGTAGTCCCAGCCACTTGGGAGGCTGAGGCAGAAGAATTGCTTGAACCTGGGAGGCAGAGGTTGCAGTGAGCCGAGATCATGCCACTGCACTCCAGCCTGGCACCTGGTGACAGAGCGAGACTCTTGTCTCAAAAAAAAAAAAAAAAGAGAAAACAGAATTCTCACTATTCCTCTTACCCAGAAAGAGAATCACCAAATTTTTTTTTTTTTTTTTGAGATGGAGTCTCACTCTCTCACCCAGGCTGGAATGCAGTGGCACAATCTCAGGTCACTGCAACCTCCGCCTCCCAGGTTCAAGCAATTCTCCTGCCTCAGCCTCCCAAGTAGCTGAGATTACAGGCGCATGCCACCATGCCCAGCTAATTTTTGTATTTTTAGTAGAGATGGGGTTTTGCCATGTTGGCCAGGCTGGTCTTGAACTCCAGACCTCAGGCGATCCGCCCGCCTAGCCTCCCAAAGTGCTGGGATTACAGGCGTGAGCCTCCAAGCCCAGCCGAATCACAAATATTTTAGATAACTCCTTCCAGGCGTTTGTTTTCCCTGTGCCTAGTTAGGGTCATCATAACACAATTTTGTGCCCTGCTTTTTTCATTTATAGCATTAAGGAAAATGATTTCATTCTGACCAATGGAAAAAGAATCTTTTGGAAGTATATGATTGTGTGTTGTTAAAGGACTGTGTTGGGAATTCTGAAGATGTAAATTAATATGGACACTTGACCTCCACCCATGTTATTTTAAGCCCTTTTAAAATAACTTTAGTGGGCTTTTTCTTATTACAAAAAAATAAATATGTCTTTTCTAATTTTTTTTATTTTGTATGTTGCCCAGGCTGGTCTCAAATTCCTGGATTCAAGCAATCCTCTCACCTTGGTCTCCCAAAGTGCTGGAATTAGAGGCATGAGCCACTGCCTGACCTTTTTTTCTAGTATCTTTTTTTTTTTTTTTTTTTTTTTTTTGAGACAAAGTCTTGCTCTATTACCCAGCCTCAGCCTCCCAAGTAACTGGGATTACAGCCGCACACCACCACACCCAGCTAATTTTTATATTTTTAGTAGAGATGGGGTTTCACTGTGTTGATCAGGCTGGTTTCAAACTCCTGACTTTGTGATCCACCCACTCTGCCTCCCAAAGTGCTGAGATTACAGGCATGAGCCACCGCGCCCAGCCTTTTCTAGTATCTTTTGAAGAAAGTAGGGCTAAGCAAAAATTATAAATACAAATCACCAGGAAAAAAACTTATTCACATCTGCCATCTATCTTTTCAGTCTTTTACGCATATAAGTTTTCTATTACTATTTTTAAATTTCCCTTACTACTATTTCAGGAACATCATACCAGTAATTAGCCTCCTACAACCTAATTTATAATGTCCAGCCCCTACCCCATTTTCCTTTTTTTTGAGACACAGTCTCACTCTGTCGCCCAGGCTAGACTGCAACCTCTGCCTACTGGGTTCAAGCAGTTCTCTGCCTCAGCCTCCTGAGTAGCTGGGACTACAGGCACGTGCCACCATGCATGGCTAATTTTGGTATTTTTAGTAGAGATGGGTTTCACCATCTTGGCCAGGCTGGTCTTGAACTCGCGACTTCATGATCCACCTGCCTCTGCCTCCCGAAGTGCTAGAATTACAGGCGTGAGCCACCATGCCTGGCCTACCTGCCCCACTTTCAAAAAGCACTTTAAGGGTTTGGTCCAAAGGGCGGAATCCACATCACAGATGCTCTGTTGCTTTGTACAAGCAGAGTCCTCCCTCAGCTCCTCCCTACAAGTTTGACTTGGAGACTTTATTTCTGTATTTAAAGTACTTTTTTTTTGAGATGGAGTCTCAGTCTGTCGCCAGGCTGGAGTGCAGTGGCGCAATCTGGCTATAATCCCAGCACTTTGGGAGGCTGAGGTGGGTGGGTCAGGAGTTCAACACCAGCCTGGCCAACATAGTGAAACCCCGTCTCTACTAAAAATACAAAAATTTTAGCTGGGCATGGTGGCTTACACCTGTAGCCCCAGCTACTCAGGAGACTGAGGCAGGAGAATCACTTGAACATGGGAACCAGAGGTTGCAATGAGGCAACATCGCGCCACTGCACTCCAGCCTGGGCAGTAGAGCACAACTCTGTCCCAAATAACAAAAAAAATAATAAAATAAAAAGTACTCTAAGAGTGGCAAATTCAAGATACCCCAAGGATTAACTGGGGTGGCCACTCCCTAGACTCCTGCCCTTCAACATTTCAGGTGACTTTTTGTCTCATCCACCTTCTCAGGGGACTACATCCCTGGCACAGAGACCCACATGGCACCAGAGGTGGTGCTGGGCAGGCGCTGCGGTACCAAGGTGGACGTCTGGAGCAGTTGCTGCATGATGCTGCACATGCTCAATGGCTGCCATCCCTGGACTCAGTTCTTCCGGGGGCCACTCTGCCTCAAGGTGGGTGCCGGCACCTGGTATGGCCAACAGGGGGTGCTGCAGGGCCCTGGGGCCTGGGCTGCAGGCTTGAGGGGATGCTCTGTGGGGGCAGATGGAGCAGGGGGAGGCCTTGTCATCTATGTGGGATCCTAATTCAAATACTTGCCACCCAAATCTGAGGGGTACAAGGGGAGATCCAGCTGCAGGAGCTCACCGAGTTTATCACAGGTGAGAGTTCTCTTCTGTCCATACCCTGGACTCCCCTCCTGTGGGTATCTTGCTGCCTGGCCCTGGCCTGTTTCTGCTGGCTCCATTTTTCCTTTTCCTAGGAAAAGTGTCCTCACTGCAGCCCAGACCCCTCCATTCCTTGAGCTAGACCCCAGCACAGCAGGAGCAGGGGCCTGCAGGGGGTTGCACAGAGCAGTAACAGCCGGGTACCTGGAAATGAGGGAAGGCAGGCCTCACCTGTTGTCTTCTATCCCCCAGATTGCCAGCGAGCCTCCGCCTGTGAGGGAGATCCCACCCTCCTGCGCCCCTCTCACAGCCCAAGCCCTCCAAGAGGGGCTGAGGAAAGAGCCCATCCACCGTGTGTCTGCGGCAGAGCTGGGAGGGAAGGTCAGCCAGGCGCTACAGCAAGGTAAGGAGAGCCCCATGCTGGCTGACCCGGGGGTGGGGGGTGGAGAGCCATGGTAGAGAGAGGAGGCAGATGAGTGCAGGTCCAGAGCAAAGCACCCCTCAAAGCCTTAGTTTCCCCCCTGGAGTATGGGGGTGCAGCAATCTCAGGGTTGTTGGGAGATTTCGGCAGTGCCACGCCTTGACGCAGAAGCAGCACTCAGGAGATTGGGAGAGAAAACTCACACACAAACCCGAAGTGCTTTTCCTGCTATCCCACTCAACTACAATCAACCCAGAAGACTCCTGTGACCACATGTGTGGAGATTTCCACCCACCAAGCCAGCAATCAGTTCTGCAGCAGACACCAGCTGGGTGTCCTCTAATTCAGTTCTGTGCCAACACTGTCTACCTGGAGATAGCGTCAGATCCCACAGGAGGGCTCAGTCCCCAAGACGGCCCCTGCTTCCCATGCCAGTTGCAGGCCCCACGTGTTTACCTGTGCTTCTGACCAACTGGCTGTAAATCAGGGACACCACTACGCCCTCCTTGGGATCGATTAATTTGCGGAGTGGCTCACAGAACTCAGGAAAACCCTTCCTTGCATTTACCAGTTTATTAGAAAGGATATTACAACAGGTACAAATGAAGAGATGCAAAGAGCAAGGCGTGTGGGAGGGGGCGTGGAACTCCAGGGCTCGCTGCCTTCTAGGAGCCTCCACGTGCCCAGCTACCAGAAGCTTCTGAACCCTGTCCTCCTGGGGCTTTTGGGTTTTTGTGGAGGCTTCATTACGTAGGCATGATTAAGTAAATCACTGGCCATTGGTGAACAGCTTAACCCTCAGTGCCCTTCCCTCCAGTATGTGGGATGGCAGGATGAAAGTCCCAACCCTCTAATCCTGCTTCTATCTCTCTGATGACCAGCCCCCATCCTGAAGCTACCTATGGGCTGCCAGCCTCCAGTTAATCCATTAGCACATAAAAAGAGATCACTTTAAAGACTAAGGCTTTTAGGAGTTATATGACAGAAATGGGGTTAAAGACAAAATATATGTTTACTAGTAGCATAAGGGTTATGATGCATAAAGGAGACTCAAACTCACTAGGAATCCAAGAAGACAAAATAAAGCCAGGCCGGACACAGTGGCTCACACCTGTAATCCTGGCACTTTGGAAGGCTGGGGCAGAAAGATCACTTGGGGCCAGGAGTTCAAGATCAGCCTGGGCAACACAGCAAGACCCTTTCTCTGCAAAAAAAGAAAAGGAAAATAAAATTAGCCAGGCATAGTGGTGCATGCCTGTAGTCCCAGCTACTCAGGAGGTGGGAGGATTGCTTGAGCCTGGGAGGTCGAGGCTACAGTGAGCCATGATTGCCCCACTCCACTGCAGCCTGGGCAACAGGCTCAAAAAATAAATAAATAAGGCTAGGTAACACTCGAGAGCTATTTGACTGGAAAAAAGCAGAAAGTTGGTGGGATATGGGGCTGTTGGGACCACTCAGGTCCTGCTGATGGGCATGTGGACAAGGTCACCCACTCTGAAGGGCACCAGACCAAGGACCTCTAGCCCTGGGTGCACTGGCAAAGGAATGCCAGCAGATCCCTACGGGGACACGCCTGAGGATGTGCATACAGCTTCCTTTGTGGGAGGGGAGTAGGGTGCAATGGGTCCCTCACTGGGAGGATGGAGACACAAAAGGTGGAGGAAGCTGCATGGAGCGCCATGCAGTTAAAGCCACTGGGTATTCACAGAGCAGCATGGACGGCTTCTAAAGCCATGGTGCTGAGTGAAAAGAACCTGACACAGAATGGGACCCAGAACATAATGCCTGTTTGGTAAACTCAAAATAGATGAGTAGCCAGGCATGGTGGCACATGTCTGTAGTCCCAGCCACTCAGGAGGCTAAGGTAGAAGGCTCGCTTGAGCCCAGGAGCTGGAGTCCAGCCTGGGCAACATGGTGAGACCTTGTGTCTTTTTTTTTTTTTGAGACGGAGTTTCGCTCTTGTTACCCAGGCTGGAGTGCAATGGCACGATCTCAGCTCACCGCAACCTCCGCCTCCTGGGTTCAGGCAATTCTCCTGTCTCAGCCTCCCGAGTAGCTGGGATTACAGGCATGCGCCACCATGCCCAGCTAATTTTTTGTATTTTTAGTAGAGACAGGGTTTCACCATGTTGACCAGGATGGTCTCGATCTCTTGACCTCGTGGTCCACCCACCTCGGCCTCCCAAAGTGCTGGGATTACAGGCTTGAGCCACCACGCCCGGCATGACCTCATGTCTTTAAAAAATAAAAAAATTAAAATGGATAAATAAACCAACACACATTTTGCAAGGATACAACCCAATCAAAAATGACACATCAAACATAATAGAATGACACCTCAGGGATGGTACAGAAAGGCCATGGTTATAGGAATGACAACGAAATAAAGAAAATCAGAGAGATCTTGCACCTCCCCAAAGACAGCTCGTAGTGCTAATGATGAAGGTGGTCCCAGGGCTGAGCTCTCCCCACGCCAGGACAAACAGTGCCTGGGGAAATACTGACCGAGGATGGGGCAAGAGAGACTGTGATTCCAGGAGGCCACTTTGTCTGGGAACTCTTGAGTTGGTGTAGCCCCTGGGCTGTCTTTCAATCTTCTCTTGTTAACGAAGTCATCTGGGACTGATTCTATAGTTTCTGAATTTGCTGCTGATTCCTAAAAGGAAAATGGAATCAAAGACGGAAATAGAGTCCTATCCCTGTTACATTGGGACCATCTTACTGAGGAAGCCTCCTGTGGAGATTACCATGCTGCCCTCCGAAGTTACCTCCCATGGTGACCCGGGGTAGGGTCTTCCCTCTCTTCACTTCCAGCCTGCTGCACTCAGGAGAGGCCGCTTCCGCCTGGCCCGCCACCTGTGCACAGCACACTTCCCCTCACCAGTGTCCTCTCTGTTTTCTAGTGGGAGGTCTGAAGAGCCCTTGGAGGGGAGAATATAAAGAACCAAGACATCCACCGCCAAATCAAGCCAATTATTACCAGACCCTCCATGCCCAGCCAAGGGAGCTTTCGCCAGGGGCCCCAGGTCCCCAGCCAGCCAAGGAGACAACAGGCAGAGCCCCTGAGCTCCAGCCTCCTCTCCCACCAGAGCCCCCAGAGCCAAACAAGTCTCCTCCCTTGACTTTGAGTAAAGAGGAGTCTGGGATGTGGGAACCCTTACCTCTGTCCTCCCTGGACCCGGCCCCTGCCAGAAACCCCAGCTCACCAGAGCGGAAAGCAACCTTCCCGGAGCAGGAGCTGCAGCAGCTGGAAATAGGTATGGGCAGCTGTGGTTGTAGCCCTGGGCACTGGCCCTGGGCTGCCCCCAGAGGCCAGCGCATCTCCTTTTTACCCGCAATGTGGACTTCCTTCCAGCCCCTTCCCCAGCAGCTCAGCTTCTGCAGACTGCAGGAAGAACCCCTGAAAACACAGCCAGCCTCCTCCCAGTCTTTCACAGCCATCTTCCACTTTTCCCTGCAGAATTATTCCTGAACAGCCTGTCACAGCCATTTTCCCTGGAGGAGCAGGAGCAAATTCTCTCATGCCTCAGCATCGACAGCTTTTCCCTGTCAGATGACAGCGAGAAGGTGAGCGGGTTGCGGCCCGAAATCCATGGCTTCAGGGGTATATGGTTCCCCTGGCCCTGGCACAGAGCAAGTAGGTTTGTGTCCAGCTAGTGAATGGACTCTGTGCAAGTAGTGGGTAAAGGGAGGGTGATGTGGGTCACCCCTTCCTTCTGGTAAGGGTCCTCACTAGGGTAGGGCAGGTGGTCGTGGTTTCTCAGAGTGAGAGAAACCATAGAAATCTACCCTCCTGGGATTAGTGAATGTGTTTTGCTACCAGAGAAAATGGGGAAGCAGGCCTTGGTCCCCCATGGTGGCAGCTGAGGGCATGAGCAGCTCCTCACCCCTGGAGAGCCCAGGGCCCCTTTGCCCCAAATGAGACCCAACTGGAGGTGGATCCCGGAGCCCAAGGGTATAAGTCCATGCCCACCCTTGTTGTTTCAGAACCCATCAAAGGCCTCTCAAAGCTCGCGGGACACCCTGAGCTCAGGCGTACACTCCTGGAGCAGCCAGACCGAGGCTCGAAGCTCCAGCTGGAACATGGTGCTGGCCCGGGGGCGGCCCACCGACACCCCAAGCTATTTCAATGGTACAGTCCAATTCACCTGCTCAGCAGCCCCCGTGGCAGCTGATCTGCCTGGAGCTAGACAGCCATTGAGGGATTGTGTCTCCCCTCCCCTGGCACAGTCGAGGAGAGGAAGGCCCTTGGTCCCAGAACTTGAGGTTCCTGGCCAGTAAGCTGGGTTTTGAGCAAAGGTCCTGATCACCCACGAGCCCTTCCTGATAGGGCAGTGAGGGACCATTATCCCCACATTGGTTGCTGATGGAGTCCCAGAAGGCCCCACTAGCTTGGTTGGGGAGGAGAGCAGTCTCTCTTGACCTGGAGTCAGGAAAATGAGCAATTAATCACTTCTAAAGGGAAAAGGAATGGGACCCATGAGCATTTTCATCAAAAACTCACCAAAAGGAATCCCTCTGTGGGATTTGAGGTCAGATGAGAAAGACAACATAATTCCTTCATTTTCACGCTTGATTGCATACGTTATGTTGTGACTTTGCTAGACAAGGCCTTCGTCAGCTCCGAGTTCTCTGGCCCTCTCTAGGGCAGTGTGACTCATGGCATCAGGCCCCATGGCTGGCCAAAGGCCACTTCAGCTCGGGGAGCAATCTAAGTTGCTCATAATCTAAGAATCTTTGTGTTCAGTTCCTTTCTGCTTTGCATCCAAATTGAAATACAACTTCCCCATAGGAGCCAACCCCAGCTCTTCGCAATGTTCAGGCCGAATACCCAGTGTTGACAGCCAGGAGGAACTAGCAGGTGTATAACTTTAGGGCTGTCCAGGCCTGAATTTTTTATTTTTTATAAAATGCAGCTGTGCGGCTCATGCCTGTAATTCCAGCACTTGGGAGGCCGAGGCAGGTGGATCACGTGAGGTCAGGAGTTGGAGACCAGCCTGGCCAACATGGTGAAACCCTGTCTCTACTAAAAATACAAAAATTAGCTGGGTGTGATGGCACATGCCTATAATCCCAGCTACTTGGGAAGCTAAGGCAGGAGAATCACTTGAAGCTGGGAGTTGGAGGTTGCAGTGAGCCGAGATCATGCCACTGTACTCCAGCTGGGACGATAGAATGAGACTCCATCTCAAAAACAAAACAAAAAAATGCAGCTGTGCTTAGACCAGCCTAAATTTCATCTCTGCTGCTTCGTCATAGCCAGAACTGCTCCCCCCTTACATAGAGCAGAATGACTTTTAACAAAAAGGTTCCCCAGCCCCTGCCAGGACCCTGGTCCTTGGGGAACCAGCAGCTGCTCTCCTGACTGTCACCTTGCCTGCCTTCTAGGTGTGAAAATCCAAATACAGTCTCTCAATGGTGAACACCTGCACATCCGGGAGTTCCACCGAGTCAAGGTGGGAGACATCGCCACTGGCATCAGCAGCCAGGTAAGGGGCAGGTACACTCTGACACGCAGAGACCCAGAAGCCAGTGTACCTGTCCCCACATTCCAGGAGAAAGGCTTTCAAAGTAGAATGGCACTCTAGGGAATAGTCGGACTTGGCCTCAGATGTCCCCCAGGGCCTCAAAGCAAGAATGGCAGGTGGAGGTGTCCTCTGGATCTACCCTTGGGCCAAGTGGGATTCTCTGTGCCTCTGGAATGACAGACACACAGTGCTCTTAGGGCCCCTGGTCTGGCTGGAGGGAGATGTCTTTACCTTTCTATGTGGCTTCTGAGCCTCAGCCCACTGGTTTGCTCCACCTTTAGATCCCAGCCGCAGCCTTCAGTTTGGTGACCAAAGACGGGCAGCCCGTTTGCTACGACATGGAGGTGCCAGACTCTGGCATTGACCTGCAGTGCACGCTGGCCCCCGACGGCAGCTTCGCCTGGAGCTGGAGGGTCAAGCATGGCCAGCTGGAGAACAGGCCCTAGCCCTGCCCTCCGCCGCCGGCTCCACGTTGCCGGAAGCAGCCTTCCCGCTCGGCGCATGATGCTGCCCTGAATCACAGGCTCAGCCACTCCCAGGGATCTGCCAACCCCTGGCTCAGCAGTGAGACCAGAAGCTGGCAGCAGCAAGGTGGGGGTGAGCAGAACGCCTCCCAGGATTTCCCACCTGAGTCCTGCCCCACCCTGCTGGGAAGACACTGGCTGCCACTTGAGGAGACAAAGGAGGATGGCAGGAGTTCCCTCGGGGAACAAACAGGATCTTCTCTGCCCTGCTCCAGTTGAGTTGGTCTGACCTGCTTGGATCAGTGACCATTTGCTGGCAGACGGGAGGGCAGCTTCCAGCCTGGGTCAGAAGGGGTGGGTGAGCCCCTCAGCCCCTCACCCTCCAGGCTGGCATGAGGGTGTTGAGTGTAAGGGTTCACACTCAGGTTTAGTGCAGAACCAGGGCAGAAGGTATGCCCACTCGTACGTTAAGGGGCCCTCTGACCCCCTTGCCTGGCCTCACCTGGCCAGCTCACCCCTTTTGGGTGTAGAGGAAAGGAATGGGTGACCCCGGGAAGGCTCCCTGGTAGAATACATCGCAGTTCCAGATTGTGGCAACACAGGTTCTGAGTTGACCTCTGGTTCAGCCAAGGGCCAAAGCAGCTGTGTTAGTGACACGGTTCTCAGTCTCAAACACATGCCCCTGTGCTGCTGGCTACCACTCTGCCCCAGAGCAGCACCCGAGCCCCTGCAGGCCCAGTACTGCCCCTGACTCGCTGGCGCTCCGTTCCCTCATCTGTAAAGGTAAAAAATGGTGATAAATTGTGCCTGATGGGAGCGGTCTGCAGATGGACATGATCAGTGCTGAAGACCGCAGACCAGAGACACTCCGGCGCCCCAGCCCCACTGTCAGTCTCCAGAGTGCCAGTCCCCCAGAGCACAGCTCAGCATCACACTGGCATTCACCCTGCCCTGCCCCTGGCTGGAGGGTACTGCTGATGGCACTTTGCACTCTGATGACCTCAAAGCACTTTCATGGCTGCCCTCTAGCAGGACAGGGCAGTGGCTCTGCCACAGCACAGCAGGCCAGGAGGTGGGGTGAAGGGACACAGGCTTGAGTTGTCCACATGCATGTGACCCCTCAAACCTCCAGATTTCTCTAAGAATAGCACCCCTTCCCCATTGCACCAGCTTAGCCTCTTCTCCAGCGCAGCTGCTCAGGGCTCAGGTAGCATTAAATCAGCTGTGAATCATCAGGGGGTGTCTGCTAGCCTCAACCTCCTGGGGCAGGGGACACTGAGACTCCTTGGGAGGCTCATCCCCACATCTTGCCAAGGCAGCCTTTGTCTAGCTGTCCACATGGAGCCAGACCGCTCCTGGGGAGAGAGCCCCGCCCCAGCACATGAAGAACTGCAGTGTGGGTGTTGAGAACTCTTTGTGAGCAATAAAGTTTGGGGTGATGACAGATGTTTCCAGCCTATGGGAGTCCTCGCTCTTGCCTGCTGGTGCTGAACCTCATGACCCTATCAACTGCATCTTTGCCTTTTTGGTGAAATCTTTTCAAGTTCTTCCCCTTGTTTTGTACAAGGACTGTTTGGGCCTTTGAGTGGGGCTGCTTTCCCAGCGCTCCTCCCAATGCTTCCCGCCCCACCTCTGGGCTCTCCATTCAGACCAGTTAGGCAAGATGCCTTGACCATTGGCATCAGAGAAGTCCCTGGTCAGAAACTGCCAGGCCTAGGGGTGGAGGAGGAGGACACCAAAGCCTGCCCGCTTGGTACCACTGCCCATGTCAGGCATCTGTACCACCAGAAGGCAAACAGGGATGGGTTCTAAATGCGGTTCCTGGCCGGCGGGGACGTCACAGAACAGGCGACATCACAGGCACCGGCGCCCCTAGTATTTCCGGCGCCCCCCAGTTCCCCCGGCCAGAGAGCACACTGAAGGCGGAGAGGTAGCATCCACCAGCCCGCTCCCCGCCTCCGGAACAGAGCCTCGGTCAGCATGGGGGTGACAGGTGGGAGCGGGCGGCTGCCCGAGGGCGGGGGCGGGAGGGGGAAAGCGAAAGTGAGGGGGGCGGGGCGCTGAGGAGACGGTCAGAAATCCACCAGGGCCGGTTCCCCTGTTCCCAAACCCCCGGCCCCTGAAAGCCAGGCTGACTCCCGCCAAAGGCCACCTGACATCCCTGACTACGGCTCCCAGCCTCAACCCCTGCGCGGTGCACACCCGGGTGCGCGCACGGACACGCATGTACGCCTTGGGGTAGGCGCTGCAGAGTTAGCGGTTCTTGGAAGGGGTTCTGAGACCACAGAAGGAGCAGTGGGCTTGTGCACAGTAAACAACTCATGAATTATCCTGAACTGCAGATGCAAAATATCACGTCCAGTTGTCCCTTCTTGATGCTCGAGGTGCTGCAGGCAGGAGCGGTAGTCTTCAAAAGATTTTCATTGAGCGCTTCCTTGGTGCCTTGTACTCTTCTCTGAACCAATGAGCCCCCAGCCCCCTGGGTCTCCCCTTACCATAGGGACTCAGATGGTGGCTTTCTTTTGGGAGTCCTCTCTCCCAGAAGGGCATGGGCCAGCATTCAAAATGGTCAAAAATTAGGCGGGCCTGATGGCTCAACACGTGTAATCCCAACATTTTGGGAGGCAGAGGTGGGAGGATCACATGACGCCAGGAGTTCAAGACCAGCCTAGGCAACATAGCGAGACATTGTCCTCTACAGGAAATGTTTAAAATTAGCCATGTGTGGTGGCATGAGCCTGTAGTCCCAGCTACTTGGCAGGCTGAACTGGGAGGCTCACTGAATCCCAGAAGTTAGTGTGCTAAAATGGTGCCACTGCACTCCAGCCTGAGCCACACAGCAAGATCCTGTCTTAAAAAATTAACCAGAGGTCAGGTGCAGTGGCTGACGCCTGTAAGGTAAAACATAGGTTGGACTGCCAGGTTTATCATGGAGAGGATTACACTGATGATTTGAATTGGGCTTTCAGGCCAGAGTAGGACTTTGCCAGAAGAAGGCTTTCCAGGTATGAGAAATAGCATTTGCAAAGGCACGGGGTGCAGTAGGGCTGCCATACTCTGGGGTATCTTCGGCTTAGGGTGAGGGACAGGAAGCTGGATGCCAAGAGATGAAAAATGAAGGTAGAGATCAGACCAAGAGGCCACATGGAGTCTGGGGGGTGACTAGAGGCAAGTGTGATGTAGCAGGCTCACTCTGAGGCCATTGAAAACTCCAGATTGAAGGGGACATGGTTGCAGTGGTCCTGCTGGAGGGCTAAAGAGATTTAAGACAGTGCAGTGAGCAGCATCCAGGAGCGTGGAGCCTGCCAGACCTGCCTTCGGGTTGTGTGCTGCTGTTAATAGCTGTGTGGCCTCATACGAGTTTCCTCATCTGTGAGAGGAGAGTCGGGGCCACCTGGGCATAGGGTAGGTATGAAGACTGAATGGCAAAGCACTCAGCACCGAGTCCCAATGGGTAGGAAGCCACAGGTTTGTGTTGGCTCTGGTACTGGGAGATGAGGAGGGCATCAGGGGTAGGATGGGCAGGTGCTGTGGAGTGAGGAGTCACAAATGACCCAGGTTTCTCATTTGGGTAAAAGGATGAAGGATGAATGGGGCAAGGAGAGTAGGATACAGACAGATGAGAGACTAGAAAGGAAGACAGGGGTCAGACAGGGAGAACTGTGGTGGCCACGCTTAAGAGTCTGGACATACAAGGTGTGAACTTGATTAAGAAATTAGACCTGACACGGTGGCCCACGCCTGTAATTCCAACACTTTGGGAGGCCAAGGTAGGCAAATCATTTGAGGTTAGGAGTTCGAGACCAGCCTGGCCAACATGGTCAACCCCATCTCTACTAAAAATACAAAAAGTGAGCTGGGCATGGTGGCACACACCTGTAATCCCAGCTACTTGGGAGGCTAAGGCAGGAGAATCACTTGAACCTGGGAGGCGGAGGTTGCAGTGAGCTGAGATCACGCCACTGCACTCTAGCCTGGATGACAGAGTGATACCCTGTCTCAAAAAAAAAAAAAAAAAAAAAAAGAAATTATTTCATATACTGCAGAATGTCACTTCAATCCCTAATAAAACATCCCCAAGTCAGGCACAGAGGTCCCAAGTTAAGTAAACTTCTGACTTTTTCTCCCAGCCCCTAGTGCTGTTAGAGGCTCATACCACAGTAATTTATTCTCCTGTCCATACCCAGTTGCTCTTTATGGAGGGGTTGAGGCTGTAAGTGTTGATTAAAGTACCAGGGACATTTTGTAAAGCAAGCAAAGGCCCTCAGGTCAGAAGCCTGGGAAACAGCAGGACCTGGGGCAGGGGAGTTGGAGAGGGAGAAGGGAGATGCATGAGGAAGCCAGGGAAGCATGATAATCAAGGAGGTAGGTGCAGGGTTCTGAAGAGACCACTGAGCTGGCCACTGGGGGCTCGTCCATGGTGGTGCCCCAAAGCCCACCACTCTGCTGATACATCCCCCAAAGCAGATGGTCCCTATCCCAAGACCAGCCATGCAAGGACCCCTCCCCCCAGCCTCTACATCTCTAGGAAGAGACCACAGCACATTTTCATCCTTCCAGTATAATCCTGGGAGTGATTCTTCCCAGCCAGAGCCAGGGCTGTCACTTCCTGCCACACCCCAGGCTGACGGGGACCCACCTTGCATGATGGCAGGGTCATGATGATGGCCCCACCATCAACCCCTATGCATGGCCCTAGGAGCAGAGAACAGGACAGCCTGGTGCTTCCCACCCCCTCAGGGTGAAGAAACAGCTTCTGCTATAAAATATACAAGCCTCGGCTGGGCGCGGTGGCTCATGCCTATAATCCCAGCACTTTGGGAGGCCGAGGCGGGTGGACCACGAGGTCAAGAGATCGAGACCATCCTGATCAACATGGTGAAACCCCGTCTCTACTAAAAATACAAAAAATTAGCTGGGCATGGTGGCATGTGCCTGTAATCCCAGCTACTCAGGAGGCTGAGGCAGGAGAATTGCCTGAACCCAGGAGGCGGAGGTTGCAGTGAGCCGGGATTGCACCATTGCACTCCAGCCTGGGCAACAAGAGTGAAACTCGGTCTCAAAAAAAAAATATATATATATATACAAGCCTCCAGGAAGGGGGTGTGGGGTTGGGGGATGTTCCCAAGGAGTCAGTCTCCCCTGCAGAGGGTGATCTGAGTTCTTAAATCATCAGACAGGTGCTAGCATCACCTCAGATCACATACCTGGGCTGCAGGCCTTGGCCTGGAGTCAGGGATGGATGACCCAGAGAGAGCAAAAGCCGGCAGAAGAGCAGGAATGGGGAGATGGGGAAGGTTCTCATGGGATGTGATGGAGACTCCATGTAGTTACAGGCTCCTGGGAGTAGTGGGGGTGGGTAGGCCTGGGGAGTTAAGAGTTTCTTGAATCAAACCTGCATTCAAGTCATCACAGCAGCTATGATCAGCGAAGGGGCCTTGGGCCAATGGACCTGTCCTAATTTTTTGCGTTGAATCAATGAGATGAAGCAGCTAAAGTGCCCAAGCTACAGAAGCATGTGGTCATGGTTGGGGTACTGTCAGCTGTCACAGTTTTGGGGGATGGAGACAGAACAGGGAGCCTCCGAGGCAGCAAGGCAAAGAGTGAAGAGTGGAGGAAGCAGGACTGGAGGATAGGCCAAGGAGCAAGGAGGGCAGAGCAGGACAGTGAAGGAACGGCAGCCAGGAAGAGAGAAAGCGAGGGTGAGAGGAGGTGGCGGCTCCGGAATCCCTCCCGGACTGTCCCCTACCCTGCAGCTCCCTGCACTCACCTCCTTCCCCCTGCCAGGTACCCATGGATTTCCATGCTGCAGCAAAGGATCAGTGGAGATTGCAGAGATGCAGTGAGAACCATCCCTCATCATCACTGGGCCTCCCCCGAGCCCTCCAGGACCTCCAGCCTTACCCTCAACACCACCAATCCCCCAGCCTAGGATCTCCCTCCCTTCTGTCATTTCTAAAACCTCCCCAGGGGCAGCATCCAGGCCAAAAGGCTGGGGAGGGCATGGGGTATCTACCCTACCCCTCTGTTTCTGTCCTTAGCCCCTGGCATGAGAGGAAAGTGGAGGGGTGGTGGGGCACACCCAGGGACGGGATGGGACTAACCCCTGAGAGCTGCCTGGCTTTCGAGGACAGAGCTGCCCAAGGCAGGGTGGGCAGGCACTGAGGAAGGAGTGGCAGGTGGGTGGGAGGACATCGTTCTGGGGCGCCCCTGCTGGGGACTAGTGTTCTGGGCACTAGTCCTCAAAATGAGTTGCCCTAGCCTGCCTGCAATGCTTGATAAAAATGAAGGTTCCTGGGCCTTACCTCCAACCAACTTGATTCCTCTTTGGGGGGCGGGGGCATGAGTTGGCAAGGAGCTTCCTAAACTCACTAAAGTTTCAGAAAACAACTCCAGACTTCCTAGTGGCAGCAGAAGTGGGACACCAGGGGAGTGGATGAGCTGGTGGCACGGTGGCTGGGGGCAGGGGCATCGTGCCAGCCTCTCTTACAAGGCAGAGGGCTTTGAGGGCCCAGAGAACCCCTTCCCGTGAAGCTGCCACCCACCCCACGGATCCCTATCACCCACTCTGTCTCCTTCTGTCCTAGAGATGACTTAAGTCAACACCAGATCCAAGAAGAACAGGAGGTAAAAACAGGGGTGTCCTCCTATGGGAAGATGATAGGCAAGGGGCAGGGCTCTTCCTTAAGTCCCCTCCAGCCCCTACCCTTGACAGTTCTGGGACCCTAGTACCAGGCCGGTGAGGGTACACACACACACACCTTCATCAGGCAGGTCCCTGAAAGGAGGTAGGCAAGGGGGTGATGGGGGGAGACCAGGGCAGGGGAGGGGCAGGGACTTGGGGCCAGGGAGGGCCTCAGGGGCAGGACCTCCAGCTCCTGCCTCCTCAGCTTTGAGGTGACACATTTCAGCTAGAGGCAGACGTGCTAGAGCAGAAGCCCCAACCCAAAGTGGACCTGGCCCCAGACCCAGACCTGGAGATGGAACCAGTGCCGGCTTTACTGGAGTCAGAGCTATACCCAGCCCTCAAGCCTGAAGCTGAGCTGGACACAGAAGCCAAGTGGAACAAGGAGGCTGGCTTCGAAGGATTCCTGCAACCATTGTGCAGGATAGAATCCGTCCACTCCAACATGGGGCTGCCCGTGCCGCAGACCTTCAGACTGTGGAGTCTGAATTCAAGCCACCATAGTTCCACGGAGGAGAAACAGGTGTCCGCCAATCACTGCTCCATCAGTGCACAGACCTCTAAGCACCTCTTCTGGGCAAACAAGCTCATCCAGGCCTCAGAGCACAGCCTGCAGCGGGCCATCCACACGCCGCTCAACAACAACAGCCCAAGCCAGCTCACCAGAGCCCCTGGCCGGGCGGCTGTTACCACCAATGCCCTGCGCTCCAAGGAGCAGCTCCAGACCCCCAACACCCACTCAGCTCCTCCAGCTGCAAGCTCCCAGGCGCCACCAAGCCCCCTCCTGCCTTCAGATCTCCTGCCACCCATTGGCCTGACAGAGCTAGTCACCTTTGCATCTTCCCTGGCCGTGGCCTGCTCCAGCAGGATGGACCTGCCCACTTTGGAACACATGATAAAAGCTCCAGCCCATCAGGCTCCAGAGCCTTCCACAGAACCTGTCCTGACCACTGCAGAGGATCAAGAGCCAGAAAAGCAGGCAGAGACCCGGCCGGAAAAAACACGTGAAGCCGGAGCTTCACAGAAATCTTGGAGTCAGGAAGGCAAGAACCAATAAAGCCTCCAGTGCTGGTCATCAGCTCCTACTTCTGTGCAAAGGCCCCTGGGCCAGGGAGCCCACCTGGCTGCTGTGTCCTGCTCTCAGTTTTTTTAAGGGTCAGTTCCTCTTCAGTCCCTCCTGGTCAGACCTCTAGGCCAGCAGAAAGACTTGTGGCTGGTCTTAGGGAGACCTGGGTGTCCTCTGAAGCTTCCGTTTCTTTGACTGTGAAATGAGGCTTCCTCTTGGCCTGAGGCGAGGAAGGTGTTGGGATCCTCTGCAGAGACAGCCTCCTGGTGTGGGTCTGGGCAGGTGGGAAAGTGGGTCTGTGGGGGTTCTTCTTGCTCTCTTCGTGGGGAAGGCCTGGCATGGGGAAGGGATGGTGTCCAGGAGCTTGAAGTGGAGGAAAATGAGGCCAAAGGACTGGTCCTCCAGTGGGGGCACAGGCTGGGGCTAGAAATATCTCAGAAGCAGGAGAGAGCTCTGTGTCACCCAGATGTGTGCACACAGACACCACCAGCTGCCCAGCACACCACACATACAGCACTCACACACGGTGGAAACAGCACATGCCACACACGTGTGCCTGTGACCATCACATGTACCAAACGTGCACACAAGGCTGGGCGCAGTGGCTCACTCCTGTAATCCCACACTTTGGGAGGCAGAGGCCAGCAGATCACTTGAGGTCAGGAGTTCAAGACCAGGGTGGCCAACATGGCGAAACCCCTACTCTACTAAAAATACAAAAATTATCTGGGTGTGGTGGCATGTGCCTGTAGTCCCAGCTACTCAGTAGGCTGAGGCAGGAGGATCTCTTGAACCTGGGAGGCAGAGGTTGCAGTGAGCTGAGATTGCACCATTACACTCCAGCCTGGGCAATAGAACATGACTCCATCGCAAAAAAACAAAAGAAAAACAAACAAACAAAAAACATACACACCAATACACACGCCTCCCACCCAGGGTTTGACCTTGGAGGCCTGAGGACAGGCAGCGTAGACTGGCTTCTGGCGGAGGAGAGATGGCAGCAAAGGAAGGAACGGGATTCAGAGCGCACAGAGGGACAGGGATGTGGAGATGGAAGCCTGAGGGAAGGGGGAGGGGAGGCCTCACCAAGGCCAAGGCCCAAACCCCAAGGCCGGGGCTCAGGTTCCCTTCTAAGTGAATGCCCAGCATTGTGCATATTCAAGAGCCTGCCCAGCTTTGGGAGGGGCCAAGGAGAGAAACGTCCAGGGCCTAGGGGGTGGGATTAGGAAGGGGTGAGCAGTTGAGAGTGGGCCAGGGCTAGGAGAAGCTGCAGGAGACAGGAAGGAGGGACAAGGAGGAACTGCCGAGGTGAGTCTAGGGGCAGTGGGGGCTGGGCCAGAAGCATCACTGGGCTCTCAGGACTCATCTTTCCATAGGTTGTTTTTAATTAATAGACTATTTTTTAGAGCAGTTTTAGGTTTCCAGCAAAATTGAGTGGAAAGTACAGAGTTCCCATGTACTTGTGTCCCCACCCACATACAACCTCCCCCCAATATGGACATCCTGCAGTGGTGCATTTGTTACAGCTGACTCATCATCATCACCAAAAGTCCACAGTTCACACGGGTTCCCAGTTGGTGTTCTACAGTCTATGGGTTTTTTTGTTGTTGTTCTTGTTTTTGAGACAGAGTCTCGCCTTGTCACCCAGGCTGGAGTGCAACGGTGGGATCTCAGCTCACTGCAACCCCTCTGTCCACCTCCTAGGTTCAAACGATTCTCCTGCCTCAGCCTCCCAAGTAGCTGGGACTATAGGCACCCACCACCATGTCCAGCTAATTTTTGTATTTTTGTAGAGACGAGGGTTTCACCATGTTGGCCAGGCTGGTCTTGAACTCCTAACTCTAGGTGATCCACCCACCTCAGCCTCCCAAAGTTCTGAGATTACAGAGCACTTTACTCTGGAGCCACTGAGCCTGGCCTCTATTCCTGATTGGCTGAGAGTTTTTATTATTAATATGTGTTAAATTTCGTGAAATGCTTTTACTGCATTTATATTTATGATCTTGTGATTTTTCTTCTTTAAGCTGTTGATGTGATGGATTCTATTAACTGGTTTTCAAACGTTGAACCAGCCTTGAATTCATGGATGAACCTGTAGGGCTGAGGGCCCCACAGGGTCGTGGGGTGAGCCTTATGCTGGGCTGAGGCGCAGGATCCGAGAAATAAAGAGACAGGACACAGAAGTACAAAGAAAACGCAGCCAGGCTGGGGGGGGCCACGCCACCTATAGAGTCAGGCGAGGCCCCGAATGTCCAGAAGCATGAGTATTTATTGTGTGTAGGTTAGGGGGCAGGGCAGTGAGTGAAATCATCTTTAAGGATAGTGATAGAGTTGTGAGCAATAAAACATGGGGTCCACCCCCATTAGGTCACCTAGGCCAGGAGGTGGACAGTGCACAGCAAGGGGCCCGTTCCCATGAAGTCAAGGGCCGTGTGCAGTAAGGGGTCCACCCCCATTAGGTCACCGAGGCTTGAAGGTGACCTAATACTTCTATCTATGGGCAAATTACTTCTAAGAAGATTTATAGGAGGATGCTTTAAGTCACATAGCAATGACAGAGCTGTCAAGGTTACCGCCACCTTCTGGCAGCTTTCAATGGGTTCTATGGGAAGATGCTTTTCGAGCAGCATAGTAGCAGCATAGTAGAAAGAGCTGATAAAGTTCACAGTCACCAAGGTGAATTGCTGTTCTGAGGGCAGCCTTCCACAAGAACTGGAGCAGGGTCCTACAACTTCTTTATCAGGAGGAGTGGCTCTTGCCCCAAGCCTGCCATACAGCGGGCATCTTTACGATACTGAACGCTGCCACCTGGGCCATGGATTCTTGTCCTGATATAACTGTTTTTCCCTTAAATCATGCTTTGCACTGTGTCTGCTCTTAGGCATTCTTCCAATTATAATCTGCTTATTCCTTTTTTTTTTTTTTTTTTTGAGACGGAGTTTCGCTCGTTACCCAGGCTGGAGTGCAATGGCACGATCTTGGCTCACTGCAACCTCTGCCTCCTGGGTTCAGGCAATTCTCCTGCCTCAGCCTCCTGAGTAGCTGGGATTACAGGCACACGCCACCATGCCCAGCTAATTTTTTTTATTTTTAGTAGAGATGGGGTTTCACCATGTTGACCAGGATGGTCTCGATCTCTTGACCCCATGATCCACCCGCCTAGGCCCAAAGTGCTGGGATTACAGGCGTGAGCCACCGCACCCAGCCTAGCTGCTTATTCCTTAATTCTCTGTACTGTGTCCACTCTAGGCATTCCTCCGATATGAACTAAGATATAATTATAGGTATATATGTAGGGAAATATTCTTTAGGCACTCATACTACCAACTATTATATGATTATATATAGAGGATTATATAAAGGGATTCGTCAAGCCCTATTTCTATAAACTAATATATGGTTATGTAAAGGATTGTATAAAAGGAAATAGCTGAGTAGTAACACTATAAAGTGAGATATTTCTCAGGCCCTAACTGTGCCAGGGTTCTGCTTAGCTCTCATTCCTCGGTGCCTATATGGGGAGGTTACCCACATGAACCCACTTGGTCATTATGTGTAATTCTTTTTATATGTTGTTGAATTAAATTTGCTAATATTTTGGTGAAGATTTTTGTGATCATATTTCTGAGATACTGATTGGTTAATTTAATTTTTTGACAATGTCTTTTTCTGGTTTTGGAATTAAGGCAATGCTGGGCTTATAGAATGAGTCAGGACATATTCCCTTGGCTTCTATCTTCTGGAAGAGATTGTACAGAAGTGATATAATCTCTTCCTTGAATGTTTGGTAGAATTCACCAGTGAGTCCATCTGTTCCTGCTACTTTCTGCTTTGGAAGTGTGTTAATTATCATTGATTTGATTCAATTTATTTAATAAATACAAGCCTATTCAGATTGTCTGTTTCTTCATGCGGGAGTTTTGGCAGATTGTGCTTTTTAAGGAATTGGTCCATTTCATCTGGGTTATCAAGTATGCAGGCATAGAGTTGTTTATAACATTCCCTCATTATCCTTTGAATGTCTTTGAAATCTATAGATGTGTAGTCTATGATCTATTTTGAGTTAAAGTTGTGGATTGTGTAAGTTCTGTTGTCTAGATTCTATTCTTTTTCCATCTTTCATACCCCACCTTTTATTTCTTATATTATTAATTTGTGTCTTTCCTCCATTTTTAGTTTGTTTTGTTAGCCTGGCTATAGTCTTAAGATCTTTTCAAAGAACTTTTTGTTTTGTTGATTTTCTCTATTTGTTGATTTTCTGCTTTCAAATGTATTGATTTCTGCCCTAGTTTTTATTATTTTAATTCTGCTTCCTTTGGATTTAATTTGCTTTTTCTAGTTTCCTAAGGTAGAAGCTTAGATTATTGCTTTTAGATCTTTCTCCTTTTCTAAAACATACTTTCAACACTATAAACTTCCCTCTAGGCACTGCTTTTGCTGCATCCTACAAATGTTGAATAAGCTGTATTTTCATCTTCATCAAGTTTGAAATGTTTTTAAATTTCTCTTGAGATTTCTTCCTTGATCCATGTATTATTTTGAAAAGTTTGTGTGTGTGTGTGTGTGTGAGAGAGAGAGAGAGAGAGAGAGCAAGAGAGAGAGAGAGAGAGAGCAAGAGAGAGAGAGAGAGAGAGCAAGAGAGAGAGAGAGAGAGAGAGCATGAGAGAGAGAGAGAGAGGGAGACAGGGAGTCTCCCTTTGTCACCCAGGCTGTACTGCAGTGGCACAATCTCAGTTCACTACAGCCTTGACCTCCCGGGTTCAAATCATCTCCTGCCTCAGTCCCCCAAGTAGCTGGGACTACAGGTGTGCACCACCACGCCTGGCTTTTTTTTTTTTTTTTTGTAGAGACAGGGTTTCACCATGTTGCACAGGCTGAAACTCCTGAGCTCAAGCTATCCGCCCACCTTGGCCCTCCAAAGTGCTGGATTAATTTTTTTTTTTTTTTTTGAGATGGAGTCTCGCTCTGTCACCCAGGCCAGAGTGCACCTCCATGAGCACGTGAGCCACCATGCTCAGCCTACAAGTGTGTTGTTTAATCTCCGAGTGTTTGGGGATTTTCCAGCTATCCTTTTGTTATTGACTTCCAGTTTAATTCCCTGAGAGCACACATTACTTGATTTCTGTTCTTTTAAGTGTTTTAAGTTTCCTGGGGCATTTTTAAAACATGGCAGGTGGGTTTGTATTGGGCTGGGCCCTACACTCCTACTCCTGGCTTCAGGTCCCTGGACCTGCTTCTCTCTTTGGGTCTCTGCCATCCTGACTCAGCAGCTAGAGTAGAGTTGCAAATTCAGATGCCTTAAGGGAGGCAGAAACTCAGAAGAAGAAAGAGCAGCAGCAGGCTCATCGGCAGGGGGAAGTGGGCCTCTGGTGAGGGACAGGTCATACTTCCTGCCAAAAGATGGCAGGACTAGCATTTGTTGGGCTGGAGCGCTGGACCAGCCTCAGAGCCTGTGACTCTGCCTTTCAGGCAGCAGAGGGCAGAAGACCAAGAGATCTGAGCCATCGTCGAGAACAAACAGGTGACCAGGGCTGGAGGGTCCTTTTCCCTCACCCAGGGTGGGGGAATCACTGCCCTAGCCCTTCCCCTACAGTCCCCTGCAGAGAGGGCTGTGGCACAGCCTCATGTGGAAGACCCTGAGAGGAGGTGGAACTGTACACCTACAGGCCTGGTCCTAGGTACCCTGGAGTCTGAGTATCTGAGTGGGCTGGGCCCCTCTGCCCTGTCTCTTCCCTGCCTCTAAGGCCTCTACGGCAGCCTCAAAGGCTGTTCACGAGAGATCCAGCAGAGTAGCAGGCTGGCAGGATGCAGAAAGGGAGGCTGCAGCTGCACACTGCCTGGCCGACCCAGACGGAGCTGGCAGCAGCCCTGACTGTAAAGGCTGAGCACACCATGAGGAGGGCCAGAGAAATCCAGGGCCTGTGGTTGCCCATCCAGTAGAGTCAGGTCCAGATGTTGGGTCTCCGAGGTGAAGGAAGGGATGGGAGGCCAGGCCTGGGGAGGCTGGGTTTGGGGTAAGACCTGGCTGGCCCTGGCTTTTCTCTGCAACAGGTGCAAAGACCTTTCCAACCTGTTACTCCTTGGGCAGCTTGAGAGGTGAGAATCTGCTGCCCCTGACACCCCAGCAGCTGGCAGGTGAGGGCCCCAAGATTGGGAGTACGAAATCAAATTAGGGGGTGCTCAGGAAAGAACTACAGAGATTGCCTACCCTGAAGCTGGGGTCACTGCAGGAAGCCAGGGTTTGCAACCATCCCTCCATGCTTGTCTGATTTGCTCACCTCTGCAACTCTAGGACTCACAAAAATGTGTGTGTGTGTGTGAAGGAGGGAGGAAAGGAAAACTCAATGGATTGGTAGATAGCTGAATGCAGATATTTAGATGGATGATGAATAGGATGGAAAAGAAGGCAAAGAAGGAGAAAAAATGGGGGAAAAAAGGTTGGGCACAGTGGCTCACACCTGTAATCCCAACACTTTGGGAGGCTGAGGTAGGCGGATCACAAGATCAGGAGTTTGAGAATCAGCCTGACCAACATGGTGAAACCCTGTCTCTACTAAAAATACAAAATTAGCTGGGCGTGGTGGTGGGTGCCTGTAATCCCAGCTACTCAGGAAGCTGAGGCAAGAGAATCGCTTGAACCCGGAAGGCGGAGGTTGCAGTGAGCCAAGATTGTACCACTGCACTCCAGCCTGGGCGACAGAGCAAGACTCCTTCTCAAAAAAAAAGGTGGGGAAGGATCTGAGTTCCCTTGCCTCATGGGGTCTAGGACCATAGGGATAAAGGCAAAAGAAACCACAGCCCCAATGCTCCCCCAAATAACATGTCCTGATATTATTGGCAGGGCCCCCTCCAAGCAGAATCACTTTATTCATCATCAGCAATGTTCAGTGCCTGCTACATGCCAGGCACCAGCAGGGCTCCAAAGCACTGTAGCTTCAGAGCCAGACTGCCAGACATGACCTTGGACACGTGACCTTGAATTTTCCAGTGTTTTTCAAAGATGAGTTTTGGACATGAGGACTGAATGGGCACTTAATATGTACCAACACACAACAGCCACTGTTATTCTTTATATTAAAAGTTATAGGCCAGACATGGAGACTCACATCTGTAATCCCAACAGTTTGGGAGGCCAAGGCAGGAGGATTACTTGAGCCGAAGAGTTCGAGACCATCCTTAGCAACATGGCAAAACCCTACCTCTACAACAAATTAAAAAATTATCCAGGCGTGGTGGCATATACCTGTGATCCCAGCTACTCAGGAGGCTGAGGTGGGCTCTAGCCTCGGCAGAGTGAGACTCTGTCTCAAAATAAATATATAAAAATTTATAACACTCAGGAGGGAGTTGGAATGAGCGAAGTCATCAGTCCCACCTGAGCTTGAGTGGGCAGCTCCCAGGGTTCCTGTGTGGGCGGTTTGTCTTGCCACCTGTCCCCCTCTACCCTCAGCCTTCCAGGATATCTTCAAAAGGTTCAGCTCCAGCCCAACAGGCACCGTGGACAGTGCAGCAGGAAAGCTGCCTTGGGCAATGTGGGTGTCCAGCTGAGTCCACAGGAGATGTGTGAGGCTCTGCGGAAGGCAGGCTTAGATGGTGGGTGCCCCATCACTGTCCTCTTGTCCTCTTCCACCTCCAGGCATTCTTCTAAAGAATACCTCCCCTGGCTGGGCACAGTGGATCACCTGAGGTCAGGAGTTCGAGACCAGCCTGACAAACATGGAGAAACCTCATCTCTACTAAAAATTTTAAAAAAAATTAGTTAGGCACAGTTGCGCGTGCCTGTAATCCTAGCTACTTGGGAGGCTTGAGACAGGAGAATCGCTTGAACCTGGAAGGCGGAGGTCGCAGTAAGCCGAGATCGCGCCTTTGCACTCCAGTCTGGGCAACAAGAGCGAAACTCTGTCTCAAAAAAAAAAAAAAAAAAAAAAAAGAATGCCTCCCCTTCCCACAAAATTCTGGCCTGGTCCTATTTTAAAGTTCCCTCTTCCAGGAAGCCTGCCCTGATCAACACACCTATCTCATGGCCTGTAAATGTTGCTGCTGTATTTATCCTAATCCTGATTTGGGAACCCCCAAGGCAATGGCCATTTCTCCCCCATTCAAACTGGGGTCTGCCCTTGGCTAGGGGCAGGACTAGATTCTCTAACACCTGGAACTGCCACCAGACATCTGCAAGGCAGGCCTTCTGCAGGGGCAGGCACCCAGAGCGCTCCTTCTCCCCTCTCCCCAGGTAACCGAATCGTAAGCTTCAGTGACTTCATGGGTGTCCTCGATGACAACCACCACTTGGCTCAGTGCATGGGTGAGGGGCAAGGCTGGTGGAGGAGGATGGGCCTGGCCTGGGGAAGCCCCCTCCTCTCCTTCCTCCACCTTCTCTGCCCCAAGGACAGGTGAGGAACAGCCAGGTCTGTGGCCCCCAGGGACTGCAGACCCTGTTCTTGGAAATGCTGTTCAAGCTGCTGGGCCGGGACTTTGTGTTCTCCGAGTTGGCACAGGAGATAATGAGGTGGGCACAACCATACCAGCTCCTGGGCCCAGGATCGGGGGAGCAGACCCTGCTCTGTGCAGGGACTCCTGATGTTCCTGCCCTAGAGATGAGAGCCCTGAATTCTGGGTCTGTTTCCTAGGCCCCAAGCTGCCCCGGGACGAAGACAAAGCAGGGGCTTCCGGCCCAGCTTTGGCTTCTGCGCCTGTGAGACAGAGAGGGCTGGGGCAGGCGGTGTCTGAGGCGGCCGCCCCGCCTCTCTTCTCCAAGCAACTACTTCAAGAGAGGGCTCTGCGGCTCAGCCCAGGCTAGGGGCAGGGGTGCGCCTGGTCCCGCGGCCACGGGCGCTCTGTGCGCTCCCACGCGGGCCTTACCTCCTTCTGCCAGGCGGCGCGAGTCAGCGGCCTC